TAAAAATAGGGAAGAAGAGAAAGATAGTGATATTTATAATGTATAATAGCTTTATATTAGTATAAAATAAAGCTTTTAATATTTTTTTTGAATTTTATAATAATAAGAAGAACTTTAGCTTTATAAAGATATTTATATTAATATTATAAGTTATATATTTAAAAAGTTACTTGCATTTATATTTTTTTAAATTTAATATTTACTCTTAAGTCTTTTTATAGTATATTTTTAGATATATTATTAAGAATTAATTATATAAAAAATAGTATTATATTAATATAATTTTAAGGTTTATAATAATATATTATTTACTATTATATTTTTAATAATTATTAAGATATTAAATAATAAAGCTTAAAAATTTAAGTTTAATACTATATAAATTAAGAAAAAAGGACTTAAAAATAATAATAATTAAGTAATATAATTAATTAACGCGTTAATAGCTTTAAAGTATTTAATTTTATAAAATTTATATATTTAAAGTTTAAACTTTATATTTTAAATTTTTAATAATATATTTTAAATAATAAAAATATAAATAACTCTCTTATTATATAACTTATAATAATATAAATTAATGCATTTTAAAGGACTAAAATAGCTCTATTTAACTATATAAAAATATTTCTTATAAGCCTTATAATTAGCCTTATATATACAAGTAAAAAATTTACTAGCGTTTTTCCCTAATAATACATTTATAGGTATTTTAAGAATGTAATGTATTGTATTTAAATACAATACACGAAAATACAATACAATATAAAATACAATACACAATACACTTGTATTTACTATATTCGTAAGAGCTCTGGTTGCGGTACAGGCTGAAAAACCATTGTCATTGTGTGTCTACATTATTGGGTGTGGAGAATTAGTGTGAACTTCAGTGCTTACGCCTGTACTTTTATGTACCTGTGTACTTACCTACGCGCGCGGCTCGTATTTTTTTATAATAATATAATTATTTGAAGATAAGTCTTAAAATTATTATTTTTTTATTAAAAAATTAATATATTATTATTATTGTTGGTTACCCTAGAGCTATTATAAGCTATTCTAGTACTTCTACATAATTTAATATGTTAACTTATTAACTTATTTAAAAAAAAATTCTAAAAAACGAGCTAAGTAAAGGCAGAGCTATAGTAGTAGTGTAGTTTTATAGTTTTATAGTTTTTATAGTTTTAAATATAATAAATAATATTAAATATAATATTAATTTATTTATTTATTATTGTAATTCAAGTATTTTATTAGATTTATTATTAAATATTTAAGCTTTTTTAAAAATTAAAAATATAGTTTTCTTATTAATACTCTGCCCTTAACTACCTTACATAATAGGTCTAGCTAATTAATAGTATAATAGTATTTAGCACGTTCTCATAAATTACTTTTAGCTTTTAAATTTAAGGTAAAATCAACTAAAAACTTAATAATTAAGCCTTTTACAAGTATTTACGCGGTTTTTATTAGCTTAATATATTATAAATAAAAGATTATAAATAATATAAGTTTTATTTATAGCTTTATACATAAATCCCTTATTAAAATAAGTAAGCGCTATAATTATACGTGTTATATAGTGTTTTTAGCCAGCTAACTATTAGCCG